GGTCAAAAACAGGGCTGAAAATCTGCTCCGCATTCGGTGCGTAGTCAAACGAATGCTCTTGTCCAGGTACAATCTGGACGGAGACGTCCACTCCAAGGCTCTGCAACATGTCTCGCATATGCAGAGACTCAGAGGCGGGAACAGCTGTGTCAAGTTCTCCATGGACAAGCATCACTGGTGGCCACGACAGCGTTGTCTGCAACTGGGGAAAGAGGCGAAGATGACCAGGGCACAATCGTTCTGCGAGGATTGCCTCCAGCTTTGCAGGGTCTCCAAGTGCTTGGCGTAGGTCGTGACTCAAACTGGGGGAGTGCATTCCGGTGTAATAGTCGAGGTAGAGGCCCATCTGTAAGTACAGCCGCGCGAGCTGCATGCGAGGATTGGCGGGGAAGCCCGGGGTCGGTGAGTCAGAAGGGTAATATTGGAGAGGTGAATCCAGGATTGTTTCGAGGATGGTGGAGCGAGGGTGGATGAAGTCTCCAAATTCGTTCGGGTCTAATAATTCGCGGCCACGGAAGAAAGGCTGGGTCTTGACTGAGAGGTAATGAGGTGTCTGCAATATCTGGATAAGCCACCGTATGTTTTACTGCACTGGCCACTCACAAAAAAGTTTCCTCCCATCGCATACATGTCCAGCATCGCTACTGGCCGTGGTGACGCATACAGTGCTGCGAGGTAAGCACATAACCCACCAGCACTTGTACCGGACACCGCAATGCGTGTGGTATCAATTCGCACACTAGGATATTTGAACTCGGCACTGTATTGCGCTAATTTCGCGTCTAAATCTTGAGATACGAAGCGGAATAGATCTTCTATGTCTTCGAGGAGCTCCATGCCAGTGGATGGAGGCAGTAACCTGTAATCCGCAGATATGAAGATCACGCCTGATGCGCTCATTCTTTCTACAGGTGGGTTGAGTGAGCTCGCATCACTGCAAGATGGTTCGGTGGAGCGTACCTTTGAGCCAACTGGGAAACCAGCTCCGTCTGTTTCCTACTGTGAGTCCGCCTCCGTGGAAGTATACGACCGCGGGCAGTCGTTTATCCGATGTATTCGATCGGTGTAGCGTCCGCGGAAGATGGACGTCGATCATAGCAGGAAGACCTTCAACATGCTTGTATGGAGTTGTGAAGACGAGCAGATCGCCATCGTACCCGGAAGTCAAAGACGAAAAGACCAGTGACGAGGCAGGTACCGTCACCGGCGTGAAGAGTGGAAGAGGCAACCTTCGACGCGTACATCAGAGAGATGTCGTGAGCACAAGCAAGCCTTAGCCATAGAGTATGGCTGACCTAGTTCCCATGATGCTGAAGAGCAAATTCGAGAGGATGAGATGGTGATGAGATGCGACCACCGTCTCAATTCTGGCAAACCGCAGCGCGGCGATTATGGGCGCCTCGTAAAGACCACGCCTTCTTCACGATCCATCACGACCTCCTCTTTCTCTCTGGACGCAGACCGCGACAAAGCGCGATCTTCGAGTCGCATGACGCTCCTGATTGCTTCTGGAGCGCGATACCGTGTGCTTTGACGCGTCTTTGAATGTCCGCACCTCCTCTGTACCAGCAGGTGGCTGTCCAATGGTCCAACGCGTTTCTACATCTGAACCGAGATGAACCTGGTATTTCTGGTTTAATATCATTCGCGGAGGTACGTAAATCTTCAGAAGCTTCAGTCAATGGAGCCTTTGCTCACATAACATTTATGCATTTGTATAGGCATGGAGGCTCATCAAAGACTTCTTGCGGCCGCGGGACTTGTCGAGTCCGAAGCGGGAATCGGACTTCAGTATGTCTTAGTTATCGCACTCATAGTCAATGTCTGACACATTTTCCCGTAGATATGGCGACAATAAGGGCAGCAGCGGAAATCATTACTCAGTGCGAGATGTTGCTCGTATTACAGGATGATTTCATGGGTAAGCACGATGTATCACGGATGTGATGATTCCTCAGTATTTTTGTTCTAGATGCCGTGCGAATCCATTTGCATTTGATCACTCAAGACATAGTACAGCTCATGCAGCAATATGAGGTGTGTACTGGCGATGAGATTAAACGCCGTATTTTCATGTGCAAGTCGCAAACAGGCGTCGTCAGATGCCCAGCATGTGGCCAAGCTTGTGGCCAGGCTGTCGGAGTGGTACAATGCATGGATTCCCCTTGAAGAGTACGTGTGGACCTGTCCCGCCGAGAGTTTCGCTAATTTTGCCGAGATAGCTTGGGAGAGTCGATGTTGAATGCTTACAATCTTGCTTTCCAAACCCACGTCTATTCTGTTCTGCCATCTTCTTTCACGCGAGGCTTCAGGGCTCTCGTGACTTTGACATTCAATTTAGCTCAAGAATCTACCGGAGCAGAATGGCTATTCACCATATTTCCCAAACCGAACAATCCTTCGGTCCGCATTGACAAGCCATTGTGGGACGCATTCCATTTGCTGGGGCTCTCAGAGCGGTATGATTCTCTTATCTCCAGCGTGTGCTACGAGTACGTCGAAGCCTACATTGTGAAGACGTGCGCAGGCAAATGGGACGAGCCGAAGTTGAATACTATCCGGGATTGGATGGTCAACAGGATCGTACCGTGGATGTTGCTACCCTTTGCTCGTGAGGCTAAGACCGGTGAGCATCATGCGTTGTGCGTCTTGTTGTCAATCTCGCTCACCGTCCATAGCGGAAGATGCCAAGTCGATGTTGCAGGGCGTGGGGTCAAGGCTGGACTTCCACGTATGCAAGACCCTGGCCGACTTACGGTGCGATCCCTGACATGCCATTTGAAAGTAGACTTACCGTTTCGACTGATAGGACTAACGAAATATTCGATATCATCGTGGACTATCCTGACTCCACAAACGCCCTCAAAGACTTGAAGGTGCGTATTTATGACTTATGACCATTGCTTAAGTGCTAACAGTATACTGCAGGAATGCCTTGCTCGTGTAGATCAGCGGTCTCATCTGGTCCAGACCCTTCGAAAAGCGTTGGTGTTTCCCAGCTCGATCGGAACTTCCTGGCTAATCACGGGTTCGTAGAAACAAGAGGCGGTTGCTCCACCCAGGTGCTGACACCAAAGATATCCTGGCGCAATATGTGTCGATCATCAGGTGCCTCCGCATGGTGGACCCCCCAGGTGTGCTTCTATTCAAAGTTGCGGACCCTATTCGACAATACCTCAGGTATGACTATTCATCTCTTGAGCTTACGGCCACTTGACCCATCTCTTATATAGATCGCGCCCGGACACGATTCGCTGCATAGTGGCAAGTCTCGTCGGAGATGGGGAGAGTGGTGACTCACTTGTGGACGAAAATGAGCCGATACAGCCTTTGCAACAGCTTCAAGCAGAGGACTACTCTGACCCTGACTGGGAGCCAGAGCCTATCGATGCTGGTCCAGGTACGTGTCGGGTGTTTACTTATGTTCATGGACTGACCGAGATATGATGTAGACTTCAGGACCAGCAAGCCAAGCGACGTGATCAGTACTCTTGTCAGTATCTATGACTCCAAGGAACTATTCGTCAAGGAGCTGCAAGTACTTTTGGCGCAACGACTCCTCACTATAAGCGATGGCAACTACGACCGCGAGGTGAGTGTGGTCTGTAGGGAGTCCTTGAATGTAGACTGATTGTCGTTCAGCGACGCAATATCGAGATTCTAAAGATTCGTTTTGGAGAAGCAGCTCTTCAAGTATGCGAAGTCATGCTCAGAGACATGACCGATTCTAGGCGAACAGATCAGCATGTGCAGGCCCAGAAGTCGGTGAGTAATGCCAATTGATCATGTGTGTGCAGGGCCATAACTGTGTCAAATCCAGACCGTGCTTCATCCTACGATCATATCAAAACACTTCTGGCCCGCATTACAATCCACCGTATTCAAAATGCCGGGCCAATTCAAGCAGTATGTGAGCATCGTGCGATGCAAAGTCGTGTGCTGAGCTGCTCCTCGTAGACTTCAGGAGATATACGCCAAAGAGTACACTACCTTCAAACCTGATAAGAGGCTACTGTGGCTTCCACATCTGGGCACTGTTAAACTCGATGTTGAGTTAGACGACCGGACTGTCTCAGCGGACGTCACACCACTCGAAGCTGCCTTCGTCGAGCTCTTCTCGTCCAAAGGTCCGCTCTTCTCCTAACTTGCTGTACACTGCGTCTGACGAAGCGTGCACAGATACATGGACTGTCACGGAATTACTCGCTGAAGTTGGCAACGTGGACCGTACTGCAGCTCTGAAGGCGATCTCTACGTGGCTTAACCTCGGCGTTCTTAAGGAGGTGGCGATGGACCAGTACAAGCTGCTCAACGTGGCCGAAGCGGATGTATACGGCTCTGGGTCTCGACTTCGTAAGTTTTCAGGCAGGTTGCTGTATACAATGAAACTAATGTATACCCAGCTGCACCCGCTCCAGCCGAGGACGAGCTGCCGCCTGTTGTCACTATGCAGCAACAACAGGCAGAACAGATGCAGGTCTTCTGGAAGGTGAGTCTGCATCTTCGTACGTTGTCCGGACAGACTCTGACCATGGTGATTTTTGCAGTTCATCGAAGGCATGCTCACAAACTTGGGACAACTCAGCTTGGATCGTATTCAGGGCATGCTCAAGTTTGCACCTGGATACGATCGCAATGTAGATCAGCTGGCGGTGTTCATGGAAGCTGCTAGAAGAGAAGGACTAGTGACAGTTAGAGACGGACTGTGGAGACTGAATAAGTAAACAGTGTACCGGTATTTGCAAGTTCTACGGAAGAATGTGATTTGTATATCCGACCGATAGACTGCGGGAATCTGAATACCTAGACGGCAACAAGACGGAGACATCTCCATCTGAGTTGGTCCAACGATGACTTCGATCATCAAATAAACGACGACAGCTGAACCTCGCTCCTTCGCAAATTCAGCGCAGCCCTCATGCAATGTCATTACACCAATTGATTGTAACATCTCACGACAAGAGCACGACAGTTTCGAAGGGATAAAAAGTGAAAAAGATTGCCCATTGGCCGGATTGAACGACCGACCTCACCATGTGGAAGCGCGTGATAAGCGAATACGAGTGGCGCGCTCTACCACTGAGCTAAACGGGCCTTATAAGTGTAGGTAAAATAATTAAACATAAAGAGAAAAACAATGACAGACACTTCTCCATGTCTATGACGCGCCTTCACATTCACCAACTCCGAGTCTCGAGTCTCAACGGCACTCCCATGCATGCGGCAAACCCAAGACCTCGAAGAAGCGAGATTTGCTATGGACACACTACTTGTGAGCATTGTCGACAGGTAGCATCATAGTCCCTAACCAAAATACTCTCTTCACCCGTCTAGAATTACGACGTTCAAGAAGCGATCGGTTCTGGAACCACATCCACAGTGTATGCAGCAGTTTGTAGAAGAGGGCGGTTGCATGGTCGTCGAGTTGCTTTCAGAAAAGTGCGTTCATGCCCTAGCCTAACGACTGTGTACAAGCTGATCTGTTGAACAAGACAACTATTACAGCGCCGAGCTCATGCGCCGCTTTGCACCAAAGCTTGCACCATCCCTCAATCGTGTCTCTACTCTCAGTGTTCTCCACACCAGACGCGACATATCACACCCTTGAGTACTGCTCACGCGGCAACCTTCACGATCTACTGACAGCCTACAACGGCCGCACACTTTCCGAGCCTCAGATAAGAGGAGTCCTCAAAAGCCTAGCTGCAGGCCTTCTGTACTTGCGTAAAGAAGGTGTTGTCCACCGGAATATTAGGCCAAACACTGTTCTGGTAGCTGAAGACTTTAGGGTGGTGAGTGTTTCATGCTTCTCAGTGCGTGGAACAGCGTTGACAGAAGACCATGCGACTTCAGAAATTATCTGGATTCGGACAAGCTTGCGTGTACTCCACCAACGAGACCTCTGCATATGGGGCGCGTCGTGGAGACTGTTTCAGTGCACCGTGAGTCGCTTCGTGCACGTAGTTGGTCTTCAGCGACCTAACAATCCGGCCAGTGAATTTGTCTCAGGTGGACCGCATAGTTTTCCGGTGGACATGTGGTCGTTAGGATCCCTCATGGTTTCATGTATGCATGGAAACCACACGCTACTAGTGAGCCGCCCCATTGTATGAGGCTCGTTTTCGCTGATTGATGTCAAAGGATTATACGTCTGGAGCCGTTCTGGCGGAACACTCATTGCCTGCTGGGGTCTCAACGGAGGCGATGTCTCTAGCGACTTCTCTTCTTCGCGTGGTGCGTAGCATATTTGACCACTGAAGTTTTGTCGTAGCTAATAACAATTTGCAGGATCCGTCTGAGCGCTGCCCAGTGCGGCATGTCATGTCACATCCATTCTTTGATGCTTCGTTGCCGATGTGTTCTTTAGAGTCGTCATACTTGCGGCACAAGACTACTACGCAGTTGGAACCTCTTCTTTTGCCCTCATCAGCGAAACACAAGTACCCCACTGCCCTCTCACTGAAGACGGTGCCGAGGTCCTATGTCCCCCGAAGCTTCTCTGCTCCTCTTCGAGCCCCTGAACATGCTAAAGGAGAAGACTCCCAAGCCATCGATATGCGACGCCGGCTGCACAGATATTTGAACTCTGACGAAGGTCCTTCGTTACCTGGCCGTCGGATGTCGTCAGCTCCTGCAATAGACGAAACCCGGATCCCTCGCTTTTACGATGTATCCTCCAGTGTTTCAGCTATCAAGCCTACTTCGGCAAGGCCAGATACGCCGCCGGCTAGCGAGATTTCTTCGACAAATGACTGTGAAGATGTGGACGACATGGGCGGTCGTGTAGTCCACACCCAACTCCCTCATCCTCTCTTACTTCCGAACTCACGCCCAACCAAAGATACGGACCAATCGAAGACCCATCGTGACGTCGCAACGTCCAAATCCTTTGGAGCTCCTATCGCACAGACAGAGGGTGGACATATGTGTGCTTTGAGTACCGCCTATCTCACGCCACAAACCCTCAAAGTAGCCAAGGGGCAAGTTACTGTCCTGCCATCTCTGTCTGTCTTGGTCGACCTTCGAGAAGGCGAACGAAGAAGTGGACGGAAAGGCGTAGAAGTCCTGCGCGTGACGTCTGATGGTCAGAAGGTGCGATTCTGTGTCACTGCAGTTTTGCGATGCTTACAGTATTCTAGATCGAGGTCCATAGTGCACCACATCTGAGCACACCGTGTTGCCTGGCCGAGCCGACCGCCACCTTTTCTTTGGATCAACTTCCACTGCCATATCAGAAGCAGTATCGCGATGCCTGTGAAATCCTGGATCAGCTCAAGCAGCGAGTGCCAAAGGTGTATATGGTCATTCGATCTGCTTTTCGTGCACACTACTTACAAAGCGATTTTCTGAACAGCTGATTCTCTACCGTCCCGAAGCCAGGTACATGTTGATGGCTAACGAGCCTGCAGGCGATATCGAAGTCGTAGCACCTCCTCCTTTACAGCGCAAACAGAGCGCGAAAGGAAAGGAGCGTGAGCTATCTACCTCCAGAGTTGAGACAAGAGTCCGGTATTCGAGGCAGTCGAAAACGGTGGAAATATCTCGCAGCGCTGAAGGATCGGCTCTTACTGGTCTGGCTGGAGAGTGGACGAGGAAGATTTTCAGGGTAGCAAGCGAAAATTCTCATCATCTGGAACTCGTGCAGGCCGACGTTTCCGCTCTGGCGCAACCCGACCAAGCATTGCTCCGACTCTTGACCCAGTTTCTCCCTGTTTGCGACACCGTGGCGAACTTTTCTTCTCTCAGCCCTACTATTGCAGCTGAAGAGCACTCTCCCGGTAGACTGTCCCCTGCCCCGGTCCATCCTGGAACTGCGCGGGTGAAGATTCTTGCTCCTCTGGCGACCCCTACAGTGGACGACACCCAACAATCTGCGCGTTTACCTAGCTCATCTGACGAAACGACTTGCATCTCGACTGCTGCAGCTACTGGCAGCAACACGACTCTACTGTCTCAGCTTGATCTGGCGCCACGACCTGCGAGACTGCCGTTGGCTCCTTCGGCGACGTGCTCAGAAGATCTGGCGAAACGACCTTTGCGCTTCAGGCTCAAAATTCCAACACACTTACCGAAGGAGTCTGTCAGAAGGTTCTCCCCAGGCATTGGATGGACCTCGTACGATGCCAGCACCGAACAAAGCCCTCAAATCGTTACTCTTTTCTTGGATGGCGCATCACTGGTTGTGAACATTGGAGAAAGACACCTTGAGTTCATCGACGCTTATGGAACCTCTTCCAAGTATGTATTCGACCTTTTGTTATCCCCCACAACTATTTGGCCTGACGTCTGTCGGTAGGTACTTAGATGGAGAGTGGTGTGACGTGCCTGGTGTGGCCGAGATGATGAGGATGTTCGAGACGGCCGTTGATAGTCTAGTGTCCGCTGTCTTGTGATACCTACCTAGTAACCTCCCACTTGCGACACCTTCTAATTGTATCTCCCTCGTCTACTTCGTACCAGACTCTGACTGTGCTGCTGAATTTGAATGTACGCACAACTGCATTCCTAGTCTATCCTAGACGCGTCTCTCACGCGACGCGTTCGGCGCTAAACTAGGTATTCAATCAGGCCAGCAAAGTTCCAGGATCGAGCTTTGATCGAGCTGTAGAGCTCTTGTTGGTCGACTCCTCTGCTCACCAGGAGCAACGACGACCACGATGTCTCACTCACGCAGCACATCGTCTATGCCGCCTCCGCCACCTCGGTTTGCCCTGATAACACCCTCTGCTTCGCCACCCGTCTCCCGCTCGGCCTCGAAGAAGCCTCAGCCACCGCCCGCAAAGCGGCCACGGCTCGCATCAACCCCCCTCAGCTCGACTTCATCGGCCTCGCGATCCACACCGCTACCTGCTGCTCAAATAATCGAGAGAAGCCTGCACGATGCACGCCGAGAATCTGCTCAACGCGTTCTCAGCATTTGGGAGTCGCTGGCCGAGCGCTACTCCAAGAACATAGATGAAGACGACATTATCGACTTGCATGCTGGAGTCGTCATCAAGAATCGTGGTGTTCTGCTTTCGAGAAACAAAGTGGAGCTAGGTGAGCTCGGAGACTTTACTCGGGACAGTGAGGATGAAAGGGTCACGGCTGCGGGAGGAAGTAAGGCAGCGGAGGATGAAGTGGAGGCAGACTCGGACGCGGACCCTCTGGACGCGTTTGCACCTGGTAACGACGTGCCGGAGGAGCTAGAGAAGGAGAAGGAGAGGAGGAACGTACCGCCGGTGCGTGAGATGGACCCGGCAGACGCGGAGGATTTGAAGAAGTTCTTGGAGCAAGAGCAGGTACGGAGAGAGGAGGGTGGCACAGACGACGAAGACGAAGAGGACGAAGAGGACGTCCTCGATGTATTGGCGAGCGACGACTGGGTCACTACGGACGCTGAAGATCTACGAGGCTCCGACGAAGGAGACTCAGAGGTATCTGACTTGGAGCCTTCGGATTCTGAACTAGGGCCTCCGGATGGTACTCGTCGCGTCAAAGTTGAGCGTGCGTTGACAGTGGACGACGCCTCGGACTCAGAGGATGAACTTGCCACATGGTCAGACGATGACTACGCTACCCCCGCACGACCAACTTCAGCTCGACAGAGCTCTCCGGAGAGGGAGATTATCGACTTGACGACGCCATCACCGCCAAGTTCACCTGAATACGCCTTGTCGAAGACCGTTGTTCCGAAGAAGAGTTCCCCTGTCCGTCCGCGAGTGAAATCCAAAGCAAGTGCTGCTTCCAAGGGGATATCCTCCAGTCCTCCACGTTTCCCCTCTCCTGCATTCCAATTGCAGACGCCGCCAAGATCACAGTCACAATCATCTCCTCTACCTATTGTCAACGCTATTGCTTCCTCATCCAAGCTTCTCACACCATCACCACCGACCCCAAAATCGAAATCGCAGTCTTCTCGTCCGAAGCCTACACCGCGGACCAAGTCGTCTCCTCCCCAAAAGAGCGGGACCTCTACTCAGATTATCTCCCCAGCTGAACGGAAGACTCCATCTCGAGGGAGACCGAAGCTGCTCGCAGAAGTAGTTCTACCTGCGAGAGCACCGTCGCGAGCGCGGTCTCTTGTACGTGATCAGCCTGCTGAAGCAGCGGCG